TGAAACACACACACACAAACACATATATATATATATGCACCAAAGAATCATACCACAAATGAGTTCTAATTATTAAAGCAAAACTGGGAAGATCTGTCTATACTGTCTTAATTCATAAAAATTAGTAGTGCTAGTGAGTGTATCAATATATCCCTCCTTATACAAAATACACAGTATCACTTGTCAGGTTGTTGTAAACAAAATATACAAACTGTTTCCAGTCAAGTCTTTAAGACCAACTTTGAGTTTTCAAAAATACAGAGTAATACACCAGGCATTGTGGTGCACGCCTGTAATCCCAGTGGTTCGGGAAGCTCAGGCAAGAGTTCAATTCCCAGTACCAATAAATAAATAAATAAATAAAATAAAACAATGTAGTATAAATATGATAATAGACATGCATACAACATCAAATCCAGAACACAGGATACAGTTCAAGAGAATTGGCATACTTGCTTAAAAAGTTAGCATCATGAAAAATCCAAACTTGATGAGGGAAGTTTTTCTAGTTTAAAGATATCAAAGGGTGTAACCATCAAATGCTGTGAGTATATTTTGACTTCTTATTTGGAAAAAATAAGACAAAACAAATAAGAAACCCAACAAATAAAACAGTATAAAAGTAAGACAAGTAGGAAATAAAGTACAAAAAGTAAAATCAAGAATCATTAAATGGGATAGATTCAAAATAAAAAGCTTCTTCTCAGCAAAGGAAACAATAACATGAAGAGAGAGCCTACAGAATAGGAAAAAATCTTTACCACAGACACTTCGGATAGAGCACTAATATCCAGGATATATTAAAGAACTCAAAAAACTTAATACCAAAACAACAACAACAACAACCCAATCAATAAATGAGCTAAGGAACTTAACAGACACTTCATAGAAGAAACAATCAATCAACAAACATATGGAGAAAAAATGTTCATTATCTCTAGCAATTAGAGAAAAGCAAATCAAAAGTACTCTAAGATTTCATCTCATTCCAGTCAGAATGGCAATTATCAAGAATACAAGCAATAATCTGTGTTGGCGAGGATGTGGGGGGAAAAGGTACACTCTACATTGCTGGTGGGACTGCAAATTGGTGCAACCAATCTGGAAAGCAGTATGGAGATTCCTCAGAAAACTCAGAATGGAACCACCTTTTGACCCAGTTATCCCACTTCTCGGTTTATACCCAAAGGACTTAATCAGTATACTACAGTGATACAGTTACATCAAATGTTTATAGCAGCTTAATTCACAATAGCTAAACTATGGAACCAACCTAGATGCCCTTCAACAGATGAAAGAATAGAGAAAATGTGGTATATATACAATATGGAATATTACTCAGCCTTAAATAAGAATGAAATTATGACATTTTCAGGTAAATGGATGGAACTAGAGAATATCATGCTAAGTGAAATAAGCTAATTCCCCCCAAACCAAAGGCAGAATGTTTTCTTTGGTCAACTGATGATGATCCATAGTTGGGGCAGAGGAGGGAAGAATGAGGGAACTTTGGATTGTGCAGAGGGGAGTGCTGTGGGGATGGGAAGGATGGTAGAATGAGACAGACATTATTACCCTATATACATATATGATTACACTACTGGTGTGACTCTATATATACCATGTTCAGCCAGAAGAAGGAGGACTTGTGCTTCATTTGTGTACAATGTATCAAAATACACTCTACTGTCATATATAATTAATTAGAACAAAATTTAAAAAGTACATTAAAAAATAAATAAAAAGTAGGAAAAATGTGAATATGGATTAGATGTTAGATGGAGTTAGAAAATTACTAATTTTTTTAGATGAAGAATAGAATATTAGCTATTTAGACCTGAAATCTTATATTGTCTTCAATTTACCTTTGAATGGTGAAGCAATAAATAAATAAATAAATCAGAAAAAATACATATATATATATATATAAAACAAAGATGGAAACTGTTAGAAAAGGTTGAGAATGCAGATTAGACTATAGTACTCATGAATTTAATATTTATAGCTTTATTTCAAAGTGATTCTCAAATGATGACATCAGATAGTAGTAAAATTTTGCACAGGTGTGAACTGGAATCACAGAGCTGCTAGGCTCGAATGAGGAAACCAGGCCAAGGACACAGCATTTGCTTTTCTTTGTAGCTTTAATGTTCATAGGAAGTAAACAATGCCTTTGTGAAAACTGCCATGGAGTGAGATACTTGAGAGAAGTATGAATGGGTGGAAGAAAGGAGGATACCTACAGGAAGCACCTGACAGAAGGGAAATGAGGTTCCTGCAGATCTCTGCAATGCCAAAGATCTACTCCTTTTTATTTAATGTCTCCCTCTATCAAGCAAAAACAGTGACTTGAAAATCTACTGTTATTGGGTAATGAGAGCCAGCCACTACTTGCCAAAGAATAGTAATACAATGAATATGTAATTATTTTGTTTTGGGGCTGTTTTATTCATGTATCCTCTTCATAACAATTCTAAAAATGCTCATTCTTACAGATGTATTATCAAAGGGCCCAGGAGATTATATAGTTTCCTGAAGAAACATGGTAAAGGACAGAACCAGAATTTGTGCAGAGTTGCTAGACTTCAAATTCCCTGCTATTTGTTAATTTGTTGTCAGAAAACACAGGTTTGTGCGGCTGTCCTTGGACGATACTATGCTAACTCTGTAGCAGCATGCAGCTTTAGATGGGAAGAGCAGAGCAAAGTGAAGTCAGTCAGATCTCGGAATCAAACTGCTTCTCTAACATTTACAAGCTGGGTGACATTATTGAAGGAGTTACCCTCTCAGAGACATGTTTTTTTCTAAACTGTGAAATGATAGTGATAATAATTCATATCTCATAGAATTTTTGTGGGGTTTGAGGAAAATAAATATTTAGGGTTCTTAGCAGGGCACCTGATACTTAGAAATTCTGACTTAAACTAATGGCATTATTACTACTATTACCAGACAGGGAATCAGAAAATATGTATTCTAGGTTGGTCTTATCCATTAGTTAACTGGCTCATTGGCCTTCTTGGAGTCACATTCCCTCTCTGAGTCTCTGGCTTGTCGTATTTATGAAAAAGGCAGATGGAAGAGGACTGGTGATCTCTGATATCTTTTGGCTCTAACGTCTATGAATTAGACGTTATTAATTGACCACAATTAAAAGCATACATCGAAGACATATGCTGCTCACTGTTATCTGATAGAATCAAAGAATTCTTGCTAATATACTATTTACAGTACACTGTTTCTAGTATCCATTTAAAACTTTTCTTTTGAAGGGTTCCACTACCTGAAATATTTATAGACTTATTTAAAAAGTAATTTTTTCAGCACCACAAAAATCTTTGTGTTACATTCACAGTGAAAATACTTTAATCTAAATATAATGCATTATAGTGATTCACATTT